TGAATCCAATCAATTTTATGGATAAGTTGAAGACATGGTAAAAGAAATGTAGCAACCTGTCAAATGAAGATCCTTGATGGTGAGTACTTGAAGGTTTGCTATACGATTCTTTTGATTTCTTATGTTTGAAATTTTCACAATGAAATATTTGGAAAAACCTAAAARCTATTTCCATGGAGACACATAAATAAATAAAGATGGCAGTGTATTTAAATCATTTAAATGTGTACGCTGTACAATTATTTGTTTACAAACTGAAGAGCTCTTTCTCAGTTTGTCATTTATAATACTTAAAAACTGGCAGTCAACTGGTATTTAATGGTAGAAGAACTGTTAWACAAATGGTAAATAAAAAATTAATWAAAGGACTGTATAGCCATTGGTATAATTTTTCTAAGAAACACGATCTGTGGGTGCTGGGGTTGTGGCTCAGTGGTAGAGCACTTGCCTAGCATGCACAAGGCACTAGGTTCGATCCTCAGCACCACATAAATGTAAAATAAAGATATTGTGTCCACCTAAAACTAAAATAAATATATAAAAAAACACGGTCTGTGTTACCTAATAAAGGAATTTAGCCCCTGTACAATTACAACATGAATAAAAATACATAGAATACATCATGAGTTATTTCTTTTTATTATGTTTAAATCCCTGATATCCATTTTTTAAAAAATGGGAAATATGCCTATTCTCAGTTAAAATAATCTACCTTATAARTAAATGTGTAATTTCATACTTAGTTGAGGGAATATCTTCAGTTGTCCTCATCTAGAACAGTAACATTGGCAAGCTGCTTTTTAGGCATTGTTCAGAGATAATGCTGCCAACTAAACAATGAATGAATGAATAGATGACATCAACCTTGGCAATCACAAATTCTCCTACAGCCTGTGACTACTCTTACATGTTTTGGGGTCTCAGTCCTTGTGGTCTAGCTTTCAAAGTGCCATCTCATGGAAGGGCTGAGAGTTTCTGTCATCCAATTTGGATTGCCTACTTTGCAGGTTTGACACCTAGGCTGTTGTTGTACTGTATCCGTCATTCCACTTCCAGAATATTTTGCTAACACAGTTGTTGGTATTGAAAGGACCTTGGCATGAATGGCATAGTCATATTGCTTTCCTCCAAGGCAGAAGATAAGAAAGCAGGGAGGTCCATATGGTATAGTATAGGGAAAACCACAGCTCACCTTCCCCAAGAAGAATTCTGTGCTGGTACATGTGACTTCTGTGGGATGCATATCCAAGTCAGCAGTAGTCCTGATGCCTGTGCTTCATAGACCTCATGGATATGGTAAACCACATGTATCCAAGGTCAGGGAGAACTTTTTCAGTCTCTCTTTGCATTAGATATTTCAACCATAAATATAGTTAGCCAATAGATAGTACAGTGTTAGCAGAAGATAGGATGATGGTGTTTTAAGATTTGAAGTGAAGAGAAAAATTGGATAGTATTGACTGTCAGAGTCTTGAGATACTTAGACTAGTTTCAGTCCTCTGGTCTTCCTAGGTAATATTTTTTTAGAAGAGAAAATAGCAGTCATTTATCTCTGAGGTTTCCTAGCAGATGTAACATCTACTGTGGCAAGCAGGGTGTAGAAAATGTTTTTCTTTTCTAGATCTAAAAATAGTCAAAATGTGAGATGAATAAAAAGAATAAAAGAAGKTTAAATGTGGGACCAAAAACCCTTCCATTCTTTACATAATTTATCTGGAGCTAACACCTAATTTTAGCAAGGGTGGGGAGGGGTCCTACTTTGCTTTGTTTTAATGTTGTTGTCAGTAAATATAYATTGGAAATATTGAGAGGAGAGAAAAAACTGTGGAACAGATTCCAGACAGAAAGGGAAGATTTTCAGCCCAATCTCAGAAATAGAAAGCTATGGGGAAGTACAGTGAGTGAAAAATCCTTCTGTTTATGTAATGTTTTTAAACCCTGTAAAATCAAAGCAATACTGAACARCATCTAGACAAATGGGAATTCATTACTAATGGACTCAGAAGGGAAGGTGGGAGGGTTAATTTCTCTTTTCCTTTTTCAAATAGGTTTTTCAATTTATTTGGCTATTCCTCTCTAGAGTCAAAGTGCTGGTTTCCTTAGCACCTTGTATTTGACAGCATTTATTTCAATGTTTTAGTAATTTTCATTTGTTACTATTCTTATACACAATTCTGTATATAAATTTTATCTATCTATCTATCTATCTATCTATCTATCTATCTATCTATCATCTATCTATCATCTATCTATTACAAAGTCAGTTGCTGAAGTGCTGAGTCTGGGATACTTCTTCTAGCTTTGAGAACACAGGAGCAGTCAGACAGAGCCCTTGACCTCCATCTGCTGGTGGTTGGTGTCAAAGCAACTATGCCATTAGGACTAAAGCATGTCTAGCCAACAAGCCCTGTTTAAATTATTCAGCAAAAGAAGGATGATAACATGTATATCTTGCAACATAAAATCTGATACAGTCAAATTGATAGATATATAAAGAATAGAGATCAATTATGAACTAGGGATTAGCATTATATGAAATGAGTTAAAAAATTTACCTTCTTGGCAGCACATCAAGTCACAGAAAAATAATCCACTTAAAAAGAAGTATGGTCAATTCAGGGGACAGAGAAATCTAATTACTAATAATATGTGCTTGGAACTTATGTATAATTGGGGGTGTCCTATGAAATAACATAGTGTCTGCTTTTTGATCTACAGTAATGTGTCTTTATGTGTTGATGTGTGTACATGTGTGTAGTGGTACATACTCTCTGCTTATCCATACAGTTTGTATATATTTAGAGTCCATCTAGTTCAAAGCTATTGAAACCACTGGGATTCTCATAGGTGACAGATGGAAAACATAAATAACTCAGAAGTGTGAACATACTACTTAACCTTCTACATTTGAGACTTTAAGTTTATTGTCTACACATTGAACGGTTTCCAATGTGGAAGAAACTTTGCTAGGTCTTTAATGTTCTGGTTAAAGTCTGCTGATTTCTCTCAAAATAAAGCTATGAGTAATTGGGTACAGTGGCACATGCCTATAATCCCAACAACTCAGGAGGAAGGTTTGAGGCCAGCCCGCTCAATTTAGTGAGACCCTGTCTTAAGAAAAAAAAAAATTAAAGGATTTTGGGGTGTAATTCAGTGGTAGAGTGCACCTAGGTTCCATCCCCAGTACCACACATACACAAGCAATTGTTCATTGTTTTGGGGGAAATTAGGATGCACTCCTAATTTATGATCTGATTATTACTCTTTTGACAACAACAATAACATCCATAAAAAGATGGATGGTTCTGTAAAACAAGAGATGTAATTCTCTTAAATTTTTAAATGTGAATTTTCAGTCATTCACCAAAATATGAATCCTCAAGTAGTTATTAACCTACTCTAGTAATTATCAGCATTAATGATTCAATTTAAATAATTATCTCTTACAATTCACATAAAATAATTACTTTTAGGAACTCATGCGTTTTAATAACAGGGTAGAAAATAAAGAAATGAAGGCTATGTTCTGGCAAGTAACTACATTTTGGGTCATTGCTCACTTTGTAGGAAAGCCAAATTCTCATAATAGGAGAATTTTATATGAGAGAGAAAAGTAAATTTCTGAGAATAYGAGTGTAACAAATAGCACAGCTATTTACATTTTTTTTTTCATACAGGTAGAACTATGTTGTAGTAAAGGTACTCGGTAACAAGTTATTTTTATTATTAAATTTACTGTAAGTTTGAGGCAGAAGAAAGGTTTTTATTCCCCCCCCCCCCCCAGAAGTGATTTAACTTCTGAAAGCTTCCCTACAAAGATTTGAAAATTTGTACTGAAATGAAGTTTTTCTAAAACTCTGATATTKCCTGATGAGGATGCTTTTGGAAAGTGCATTATACCAAGGTTGGCTGTGTGGCTCATGTCCCTCATTTTCCATCTGATACCCACACAGAGTATGCTTCATGCCATTCCAGTGTTCAGAGGTTTCCAAGATTAGGGCTTTCTGACTTGATCAAATGAACTGGGTAGAACTTATTCAGTAAAGGCAAGGAATAGCTGGTGCTAATCACATCTCCGAAAAAGATCAATTTTTGAAATCTGTATCCTGGGTATATTATATGAGATCAATGTAATATCCTTCCACAGTATTTCTGATTTGAATCCCTCAAATCAGGTCTGCCAAGTGGATGTTATCAGAATCTTACTAAAGAGTTATACTCCAAACAAATTTGTTCAAAATTAAAACTTTTGATTACACTTCCTTTATTTTATTATTGCAAGTTTTTAATACTTCTTAAAACTTTTTTCTATTTTGATTCTTCCTGTAAAGACCTCAAATATGATTTTGATGTTTTTCTAGCCCACACACAACTCTTCAGAGGTTTGGGTTATTTTAACACATATTTGATTACAAAAATTATTTTTCCATCAKAGTCAGGAGATCTATTTGAGAAACCCTCCTTTTTTTTCCCCTGAGAATGATTTATTTGGAAACTTTCCCCACAAAAATTTGAAAATTTGTACTGAAACACAATTAAAAAAAAAAAAAACAATTCTAATGTCGCATGATGAGGCTGCTTTGCTATGTGACTTTCTTCTATGAGCCAGATATTKCGACTTGTGACTTGGATGACCCTCCCTCATTCAGTAACCTCTGCTTTCAGTCAAGAAAAATGGAAATAGCTTGTGAAGGGGAGGCACACCTTAAAAGCAGTGTCTCAGGAATGACATGTCACTTCCATTTAAACTCCATTTGCTACACCTTACTGCAGGGAAAGCTGAGCAATGTCAAATTGATGGGGGCTCAGGAAGAAGAGAGCTTTGATGATCTGATATCAGATTCTGCTGCACCCAAATCCTGGGATTTGTACGTTACACACAGCAAGCTTTGAAATCTCATGAGCTTCAACAGAGGGGAGAAAAGAGGGAGGGAAAGTTTGAGGCCTAGTGGGAAGCCCAAGAAGACTCAGAGGTGCCCTATTTTGTTTCTGCCTTACAGATCCCTGGAACTGACGCGGATGTGGCTGCAGGAACCATCTTACCAGCAGAGGGGACCCTGGTAGAGGAAGCAGAGGCGGAGAAGGTAGCTCTCCCTGCTGAAGAGGGAGGAAGTCTAGAGGAGGCCCAAACTGATACTGAAACCACAGAGGTTACAGACAAGGACAGACCTGAACCAACAGAGACAGAAGCAGCAGTGCCTCAGGTCAGTATCCTCGAGACAGTGCTGGCTGGAGAGCTCCATCTGGGGGTTAATGGTGATAATGCTTTGCACATGGAATGGGTTTGTAGCCATCTTGTAAGTTCCCATTCCATCAAAAAATTACATATCCTTTAATTCTCAGAAAGAATGGTCCTAGCATCCACTTGATATCTGTTGGTTCCACACAGGTCCCCAGTGCCTATTGCTGATGGAGCCTAACCATAGGATGATGAAAAAGAAATGATGCATGCATACCCATTAGTGTACAGTAGCACAATTCACAATAGCCAAACTATGAAGCCAGGCTAGATATCCATCAATGGATGAATGGATAAAGAAAATGTGGTATTTATACACAATGGAGTTTTATTCAGCCCAAAAAGAAATAAAATTATGCACTTACAGGAAAATGGATGGAACTAGAGAACATCATGTTAAATGAAATAAGCCAAACTCAGAAGGTMAAGGGTCTTATGTTTTCTCCCATATGGGAAGCTGGAGAGGAAAAAGKAAAAGAAAGGTAGGGGAGGGCAGTGATCTCAGGAAAATCAAAGGGAGATCAGTAGACAAAAGGAACCATGGGGTGAGAGGCAGGGAGGAAGGAGTTAGTGCTGGGGAATGATATTGGCCAAATTATATTGTTATGTTGTGTGCATATATGAACATGTAACAACAAATCCCATCAGTATGCACACCTAAAATGCACTACATGGGAAAAATATGAGGAAAAAAGAAAGGAGAAAAAAACTGTAATAAAGTGATGGAGCAAAGGAATGAAGCATAGATAATGAAGAAAATGAAAATGGCGGCCTGGTATTGTGGTCATGCCTGTAATTCCAGCAGCTCAGGAGGCTGGGGCAGGAGGATCACAAGTTCAAAACCAGCCTCAGCAAAAGTGTGGTGCTAAGCAACTCAGTGAGACCCTATCTCTAAATAAAATACAAAATAGGGCTTGGGATATGGCTCAGTGGTTGAGTGCTCCTGAGTAGGGAGAAAGAAAGAGAGAGAGAGAGAGAGAGAGAGAGAGAGAGAGAGAGAGAGAGAGAAGGAAGGAAGGAAAGAAAATGAAAATGGTGGGAAAACCAGAGAATAGAATAGAACAACAGTCTGTTGCCCATAAATGGCATAGTCCAGTGTCACACACATAGTGAAAAATCAATATTACTAGTGAAATTGTCATTGGAGTCCCAGGTCAGGGGCTTGCCTCTGGGGATCCCAACAGGCTGGACTTGGTTCCTTACTCTCATCAGGAATAATATAAAAAGAAAAATTAATTTATTGCAATTTGGCCAAACTGGGAAGACAGCTATTCTGTCTTGCCTGCTGTTTCCCAGAAACATTGGGATTAAATAGGGAAGAACAAAGCAGGGAGAGCAAAGACAGGCATTTGTATATTTAGTCAGGCTCCTGGACCAGAGGTGTGTCATCATTCTGGTTCTTTGGGTCCTATTGACATCCTCCTRGTGCTAGGGACCCAGGCTTTAGGGGACAGTTTCTGTTCCACTTCCTTTTACATTTGATGATTGCCTGTAGGAAGTTAAGATGGTGAAACAATTAACAAGTTAGCASGAAAATGGCTAGACTCCTTCTTTTTCAACTTTAAAGGAGCAGCTGTTACACTGGGAAGCCAACTGTTACAAAATTGTATTAGTATTGTTACTCTTTTGTGCTTATGAAGAGTGCCTCAGAATCACCAGCAGGCTTCTTTTACCAAGGGCCTATCCATAGGTTCCATGATCAAATGTGGGCTGTTAAATACACACATGGATTTGGAGCTAGCCCCAATCCATCAGTGCTACAGAGCAGCACACAAAGTCAACACAGCACAGCTCTTGCGATTGGGACAGCAATGGACTGCTGCAAAAGTGAAATCAGCCTGCATGGAATCCTTCCTGGCATTTCCTGCTCAGGATTACTCCCTGACCCCAGATGATACACCTTCTTCCCCTTCAGTCTCCATCCCTCCTCCCAATTTCCACGGACTTACCAAGCTGTGTGACTGCTCAAGGATCCAAGCATGAATCCCACTAAGGGTTTAGTACTTAGAAGAGACAGAAAGGAAGCCAAGGTACAAGACAGAGACCCAAAGTTCAAACGCCTTCCCAGCTGAGGGAACAGCAGGTGGATAGTGGGGCAGGGAAGTGTAAGTGGCTGAGGAGGATATTTATTGTTATTCAGGCTCTGCTTGACATCACTGCCTTCTTCTTCCCCCAGGAGAAGGTCATCCCTTCTGTTGTCATTGAGCCCGCCTCCAACAACGAAGGGGAAGGAGAACATGAAATGACCCTGGGTGCAGAGACTAAGGAGGCCACTGAGGATGTGGCTCCTCTGGGCCCCACCAGTGAGACACCAGAGCTGGCCACGGAACAGAAGCCCGCGGAGGACTCTCAAGCTGTGCCTCCCGCACCAGCTGGTGCTGCTGATCAATTTGCATCTGCAGGGGAGGCCTCTCCGGAAGTGCCTCCTGGCTTTCTCTACAAGGTCTTCCTGTTGTAACCTCATGGTCATTTGTCCTTTCTTTGCCTCAACCCTTCTTCAGTCCCAAAAAACTTTTGGTTTTTTGACATGTTACCTGTACTTTTTTCAATAATATTTTTTTTTCTCAGAACTGCTTTCCTTCACCTCAACTTATCTTGGAAAATGGCAGGAGTTCTATGCTGTAGGACAAGCAAAAACTACAGTAATACTTTCCATGTTTTAGCAAAGAATAATAAATGAGAAGTTCACTACAGGGCACTCCCCCTGGATGATAAAGGGTTAATTTCCCCAGCCTGACTGTCCAGTGTGGCTCAGACCAATTCCTCCAATTCACCTGTTGACCAAGGTGCTTCCCAAAGGGATCATCAGGGCAGGAAGCAAGAAGCAWAGTGCATAACAGTAGGGAGCCAATAAATATTCTCAGACGAATAAAGATATAATAGGTTCCTGTGAAAAGGAAGAAATGGGACCCTRCATTAATGGGAAGAAGGTTCTTCCCAGAGAGGCTACTTATAGTCTTCATAAACTCAATGGTCCTCAGCCTGCAAAATGAGCAGTTGCTTAAAAACCCTGGCATAAGCCAAGTGTTAAAGCAGATAAGGCTCTCTAATAGAACCTGGTTAGGAATTTTTAATTCTGTAAGTTGGTTTTATATTTCAAAATACAGCTTTTTTTTTGCCTTTAAAGAGTGTTAAATTTGCATGTATTCATGGGGTAGCATTAAATAGTGGAATGTTTTGCTTTAGAAAGTGATGGCTGCCTTGCTACCTCAAGAGGGTGTGGTATGGGTATTCTATATTTATAAATATATGAATATGGAGAATTCTGCAGGTTAGGGGGCTGTGTCCAGCTGTGTTGTGTTTTAACTAGAGCACAAGAAGGCAAGAAAGCCATGTGCCAGGCAAGGCCAAGGCAGGCAGAGCCATCCTTGGCTTCCTTGCTGACTGGTATAACATAGACATTTTATTTAACCCCTCTCTAGGCATCAGTTTTGTGATCAGAGGAGTTAGTTTTGTGTATAGTATTTCTAGATCTTTTATTTTATGATTCTTTAAAATATATGTCTTAAAAGCATGTTGTTTAATCTCATGGATAAGTTTTAGGAGAGGGACATGAGAGAAATTAAATTGCCAGGACTTTCTAGTCATTCAAGCTGGGAGATGGGGTAATGGATGTTCATCATGTTGTTCTTTCTGCTTTCTTTCTTTCTTTCTTTTCTTTTTCTTTTTTTTTTTTTTTTTTTTTTTTTTTTTTTTTTTTTTTTTTTTTTTTTTTTTTTTTTTGGTACTGAGGATTGAACTCAAGGACACTTAACCCCTGAGCCACATTCCCAGTCCCACTTTTTAAATTTTTTTATTCTGGGGTTTTAGTAAGTTGCTGAGGCTGGCTTTGAACTTGTGACCCTCCTGCCTCTGTCTCCCAAACTGCTGAGATTATAGGCATGCACCACCATGCCCAGCTTTTTGGCTTTTTTTTCTATAATATGATTTTATTTTATTTATTTTTTKGCTTTCATTTTATTTTATCTTTATTTTTAAGTTATTTCATTTATTTATTTTGCATTACAATAATATGATTTTAAAGAGATATTTTTTGAAGGGATAAAGGAAAACAGGTTGTCATGGTAGGGCAGGAAAAGGATCAATATTATTTAAAAAGAAATTGATCACAGTGTTTAATTAAATAAAAATTCCTATATAATATGCAAGTGATAGTTTTTAGTTATTTGACAGAAGCCAGAGTTAGAGGAACTTTCAGCACKGCAGTTTTAGTTCAAGTTAAACAACAAATAATATTAAAGCATCAGTAATTATAATATGAAAGTCTTTAAAAAAGAGATGATGAGTTAAAAAGTAAATAATAGAATATTCTCAGCTATTGCAGGGGGCATTACATTACTATATATACATTGCAAATGGCCTCATAGAAGTTCATATAAGTCAGTAAGAATCAAGGGTATTAAGTAAACAACAATAGTATTTCCTTTTTGTCTTTAGAGGTCTTCTTTTTCCTTGGAGTGTGTGTTAGTCTCTTTTCTATTACTATCATGAAATACCCAGGACTGAATACTTTATGAAGAAAAGAGGTTTCTGTATCTCACAGTTCTGGAGGTTCAAGAGCATGACTCTTGCTCTGGGAAGGGTACCCTCAGCTGTATCACATGGCAGATGGTATTGTGGGAAGTAGGAGGAAATCACACGATGAGACAGGAAACCAGAGCATGGGAAAGGGCTAGTCTTATTCTTTTATGATAACCCTCTTACAAAACTAACAAGAGTCCTATGAGAATTACATTAATCCCTTTTGAAGGAGTTGCCCTCATGACCTCCTGCTAGACTCTACCTCTTAAAAGTTCCCTTCCCTCCCATACCACCACACTGGGGACCAACCCTCCAGCACATGAACCTTTGGGGGACACCTCACATCAAACCCTGTCTGTATCTTCATCTTTTTATCCCACTTGAAGAATGCTTCTAAGCATGCCTGCTTATCATCTGACTAAGAAACCATGCTTTTACATCTCTTCTTTCTAAAATTAATCAGTTCTTTAAATCTTTTGCAGGTGGAAACACTACATGATTTTGAGGCAGCAAATTCAGATGAACTTACCCTACAAAGGGGTGACGTGGTGCTGGTGGTCCCCTCGGATTCAGAAGCTGACCAGGTAAAAGGTTGGAAGATGCTTCCGGCCACCTTGGTTTTTCCTGAGGGATAGTAGGACACAGTGACTTCCTAAAAACACTTCCGTTCTCTAAGATGCTGCAGTCCAATTCTGAAAAGGGCTTAAGGGCTTTGGACCCCAGCACACCATTAGCTTCTTTTTAAGGACACCCTTCCCTTCCTGGCTGTTTTGCATGATTTCATTTGTATGCAATTAAATGACCTTTTCTTATTCTATGACCATTCCTAGGGATGTCATGATACCATTCTTCAAGAAATACAGAATTTGCTTGTAAATCCTCTTCAAAATCCCCTTTAACCCCGAGGGCTGTAGGTTAACTGGGAAAGAACAGGGGAGAACTTTCTGGGGAGATGGAAATGCTAGGTATTGTGATGGGGTGTGGGTATGTTTGTCAAAATTAGTTGAACAACTCTGCATTATTGTAATGTTTAAATTATACCCCACCTTAAAAGAAATCCCATTACAGAACAAACAGCAACCTTCAAAACCTTCCTAGGAGAGTGGTGTGATTCTAAGTTGCTGGGAATTCCCATTTTATTCCTGTTCATGATTTGTGGACTCTTGAAAGAGGAATATCCATGGGTCTCTGAACATGTTTTTCTGGAGCAAAGATCTATGACTTCCATTCTACTTCTAAAGAGATATGAGAGTCCTCACCATAAAAAAAGTAAAGTTGACCACCACAGGTTTTGAGATTAATATTTATACAGCTCCAACCTTTTGTTCTTTCTTTTGGTGATGGTACCTGCCTCCAACATAAATCAGGGGCTGGTCAAGCACCCAGAGTCTCTGCCACAATAAGATTAGAAATTAACAAAAATGATGAAAGCCCCAGTGCTTAAAAATTTTTAAATGCACTTCTAAATATTTCATGGGTCAAAGAAATGATAGTGTAAATTTTAAAAAAATAATTATTATTATTGATTTTTAGTTTTAATCCTAAAAATATGAAAGAGAGTCAAGTTGAACAGAAAGCATATGGAAGAAAGGAAAAAATAAAAATAAATTCATAAATGAATGCAGTAAAACAAAACATAAAAGAGTTCATTTAGCCAAAAGTTGGCTCCTTGAAAGGATTAACACTATTATTATTAAAATCTTAAAGACTTTTCCATAAAATGTGACAAAGCATAATTATTAATATAGGCAAAAACATCAACATTGCAAAAACATTAAAGACTCCATAATATAGATTTATATTTGTTTTACATTCACCATAAATTAATCTTTTTAAATTTTATTTATTTATTTATTTATTTCCATACTAGGAATTGAACCCAGAGCCTCATGCATGCTAGGCAAGCACTCTACCACTGAACTACATTCCAGCCCTATAAATTAATTTTTAAAGAAATAAAATTTTTAAAAACCCATCTTTTATATTTACCAACATGTTTTCTAGTTCTAGTGTTCTTCATTCCTTCTGATAAATTGAGTTTTTACTTATTTTTATTTCCTTTCTGGTTGAAAATTTTCCTTTAGCAATTCTCAAAGTACTGATCTGCTGGCAACAAATCTTGTCAGCTTCTGTTTATCTGGAATTGTCTTCATTAAGACAATTAAAAATGTTCATTTTTAAAGATAGTTTCATAAGGGGAAGAAGTTTGAATTGACTTTTTTTCTTTTAAGTCTTCTAATTGTTGCTTCATTGTTTTACAGACTTTCCTAATTATAATTAGAAATCAGTTGTGATTTGTTTAATATTATTTTTCAATATACAGTGTAACTTCCATGACACATTTCTCTGTGTGTTGATTTACACTGGTTTGACTATGCTGTGGTTAGGTGGTGTTTYTGTGTATGATTTCATAGATGGGGCTCACTGAGCTCTTTAGACTTGCAATCTGATATTTTCCATTATATTTGGAAAACTTTCAGCTATTATTTCTTTTAATTTTTTTTTCAGTCTCATTCTTTTTTTTATTTCTGGATTTCCAATTATTCTATGTCCATGTTCTTCATGTCTAAGATTCTGGTTTTGTTGTTGTTKTTTTGCAGTGGGGAGGGATTGATATATATTTTCTATGGTAGTCACGTTACATGATTTCTGTTATCTGTCTTCTAGTACCATGACTCTTTCTTTGCTGCTTTGAATTTGTTGTTAAGCTAACCCAGTGACTTTTCTGTTTCAGATATTATGCTTTATACAGTTCTAACATTTCTTTGTTGTTCTTTTCTATAATTTCCATTTCTTTGCCAAGATTTCCCATCTGTTTTCTTGTTATCACTGTCTTTCAATTTAGGTTCTTGACAATATTTATAATAACTGCTTTAAATTGCTTACTGATAATTTCAAATGATTAATACCTACCACTTCAGGGCATATTTACATTGATTGCCTTTTATCTTTAGAGTCATCRTTTTTGTTTTTGTTTTCCTTCTGTGTAATAATATTTATATTAATACTGAACATAGAGGTAGATAATCTCCAATGACTATATTCTGTTTATTTTTGTTCTAGCATAATTACCTTTAATTTGTGGGAGTTGGTTTTATACTCTTAAGGTTGGGTGCCTTTAGTTACCATTGATTCTTAGTCCTGGGACTTTTTACGTCTAAGTCATGTATTCCTGGGATTTCAATAGAAAATCCACAGACCTTATTAATACTTTTAATTTGCTGGAATGCAAACTCCAAACCCCATGTACTCCCCATTTGCAATGCCTAAATCTCTACTCGATTTTTCGACCGAGTTCTGCTATTGTTTTCCACCGTGGTTCTTGGAGTACGCCTTATGCATGCAAGCTTGGGGGTCAGCCAAGGATTTCAAGAAGTGCCTCTGCATAATTGGGACCCCACCATGGCTCCCTCCTTTTCAATCCATCCGCCTATAAATGTACAGTTTCTCCAGCAGCCCTAAACTCTTTCTTCCGAATGCCCTATGTCACATGGACTGAGGACAGGATCAGCTTAGGTCTCACCTGCTACACTCCTTAAAGACTTGTGTCCATGATTAATGCCTACCTCATTATATGTACACTTGTACTGTTTTTTTTTTGGGGGGGGGTACCAGGGATTGAACTTATGGACATTCAACCACTGAACCACGTCCCCAGCCCTATTTTATATTGTATTTAGAAACAGGGTCTCACCGAGTTGCTTAGTGCCTCACTTTTGCTGAGGTTGGCTTTGAACTTTCGATCATACCACCCCAGCCTCCTGAGCCACTGAGATTACAGATGTGCAGCACTGTGCCCACCTATGTAGACTTGTATTTTATGTTACATATTTTATAACAAATACATAGATAAATTTATATATAGATACACACATATATACATCTGCATGTAGAGAGAGTTATTCTAATATTTCTAATTATTCTTTGCAGAATCATTTATCTAATAGAAATTATTCTGCCATTATCAGAATGGGAAATCCCTGTCTACCACATATATTAAGCAATTAAGGAAATTAATAAGGAAAATCTAATTAATAAGAAAAATCTAATTTTTCTTAACTAAGATTTGGGATTAGCTAATATTCTTCAGTTTGAGATTTAAGTCTTATTTCAGAATATATATGTTGGAATATATCTTCATTATGGGATTTGGAAGTGTTTGGCTTTTTTTTTTCTTTATTGAACCAATTTTAAAATGCTTGACTCTATTTGGCCCCCATTAGATTTTTTACTCACTATAAATAAATCCAAATATAGACAATTGTGTGGGGGGAAATGACCTTTTATACTGCATACTAGAGGTTTAGAAAATATTTAGTTACCATCTTTTACTTTAAGGAGGACTTTGTCCTTCACATATACGCCATCATAATTTTAAAGAGGCACTTTTCCTCATCAGCGAGAATATTATCAGTTATTTTATTGGGTCATTTTTTTTTCTCAGTATTTTTTCTTTTTTTCTGCCTTCAAAAATTGGCCTGTCTAAGTGTTTATATTTCTTGTCTATATGGCAGCATCAATTTATAGTCTCAGATGATATCAAAAGGGAATGTATTCAGCTTCTTTATTTAATTTTTGAGACCTCATTTTATCTGATGTACTTGAACTGTGCTGGGGATTGGTTCAGATTAAATCTGGCCATCTTTCATCCTAAGTGGGATCTTTTCCTGCGCTAGTTAACATAATAAAGACAGTCATGTCCTACTAGTCTCGCTTCATTCAGTCTCAGTCTGCATGCTTCCAACTCCACTGTGTCCAGCGGGGCTCTGCTTACCTGCTGAAGGCCAAAGGCAGACAGTGGCCTTTGCTTCTCGGTTTTAAGTATCCTCTCCCATTTTGTAAGCCAATCATGGATGGATTCTTGAACCTTTCTATGGTTTAAAGTCTTTATTTTGATATTGGTTTTCCTCCCATATGACAGAAAAATGTTAATTTATAAAGAATACATGAATATCTCCAATATGAATGTCCCAATATTAAAGTGATTTGTAGTTTATATAAACTTGAAATATCAGGCATTAATAGCAGCAGCATCAGCAGCAACAACAACAAAATCAGGCAGTACATATGTAACTTTTGGTCTTTGTTATGACCTGGCTAGGGTGTTTATTGGGCTTATATGATGTTTATATGGGCTTATATGGAGCAGAGACTCTTCCTGAAAACAAGTGGCTCAGGGTGAAATACAAACTTTTTGTAGCCTTCCCCAGGAGTCCTTTTAAGTCTCAGTACACTGGGACCCAAATATTCTTTGAACACCATGTATTCTTTGTTATCATGCTATGTTCTAGATGAGGTCAGTTCACTATGCCATCATACAAAACTAGAATGTTAATTCAATTAACCCTATAGAGTAAATAAATAATTTCAAATGTTCATTCTTTACTTTTTCTTTTATTCCTAAATTATTTGCTTTCCCACTGGTCATTTCCCACCACTTCACATCTACTATGACATCAGGGCAGGACCACAACACTAATTCAACAAATCAAATATTAGTTCTTGGAAGTACACATGCTTCTGGTAGTTAATGAAACACTGAAAGGCTGTCCTTGTCTTGCAGGATGCAGGCTGGCTGGTGGGAGTGAAGGAGTCAGACTGGCTGCAGTACAGAGACCTGGCCACCTACAAAGGCCTCTTTCCAGAGAACTTCACTCGACGCCTGGAGTAAGGCTGCGAGTATTGCTGAAAGAGCTCAATGACTGGGTTTTTAAACCTTCGCAAAATCCCAAGGAGTTCACTTTTGCTATTACACTCTTAATGATTTCCAGACTGACGCCAGACAAAGCTGGGCAAGACCTTCGGTAGAGCATGTGTGCAAAAGGTGTAAGAGGAAAACAAATTCGAATTAAGGAAAAAACCCTCACTCAGTTCCCATGTGGTCGATTACAGGTTTGTTTGTGCTTTGTCCCAACTGTGGACACTGTTGTACTTGATTCCCYTCCCACCAATTCTAAAGTAGCTTTCTCCAGACCAGATCTTAATTTCTCTGCACCAAGTGTACGGTATCCAGTGGCTGCCCTGCAGAAGATGTGATGAATTGTCCTGTAGTACAAGTTATCTTATTCTCTCCCTTTCAAGTTTACTGTGTTTAAAACTAAACTGCTGCAAATGTTCTCAATGGTCTTTTTCAGCACACCTACATATACATATATATATATATACAGACACACAGTCACACGAGCTAGTTCCCATGACTGCTGGATCTATGTGTATGCAGAAGGCTACATATGCATAGTTGCTTTCTTTCCTTTCCGTTGTAGCTCTTTGCCTTTCGAGTGTCATTGATACATGCATTGCTCTTATTCTGTCTGGCATTACAGTTGCAGTTTTGCCTCAGGGCAAAACCAGCCATCCCATTGCCAAAACAGTCAACAGTATCTGTGTTTGTCATGTGCAGTTTTCAAGATGAAATGACAAATAGCACGTCCAAGCTGCTGCCCCTCTGGAGAAAGCAGGGCCCGATTACACAGCTGTCCAGCTGCTRTGGCTAGAGCAAGGTTAGTCCAGAATGAGCAGCTAAGTGGTCTTCACTTCTGCCTTTACCAGAATGTCTAGACGATGGGGCATATTAATCCATCCCTCCCCAAAGAACCTATTTAAAATAGCTCCTATATATTCCCACGTCTTTATATTTATGCAATTCATCTTCACAGATTGTCCTAAAAGAAAATAGGTGATGTAYGCTGTATCCACAAATCATCTGTAATAATTATGTTTTCCGTGCTCTGTCATTCCAAATAAACCTTTGGTAATCTCTAACAATTACCCGAATTCATTTTTATGAGTCTTTTTTTAAAAACAAACAAAAACCCCCAAACCCTTTTTCCAGTTGGACACGCTACTTGAAACAATTTATATTGGAGTTGTTATTTGTGCAGAAATATGCTTGTTCCTCTTGGGTTGTGCTCCATAGCCCCTTGTCTTTCCCCTCCCCCTTCATTCCAGTCATTGCTGGTCATTCAGTGTTCCCTGATAACCAGCAATTACTAGAGCACAAATAACAGCTAAGGAGGGAGACACCTTAAAGGTGCTGGCTGTGGACCCCCAGTCTGTGAATCACTGACAATCTTACAACTTTCATAATCAGCAATTTCTTTCCATGCCAGCCTCATTTTTTTGGTCACTTTTCTTTCTGGCATGTTTATGTTTGTAGGTACATAAAATATTTAATCCAGTGGAATAGAAAAGTCAATTCACGGGGCCATTGTTACCAGAAGAGGATTCTTACAAGAACATTTCATTTTTATTTAGACGCTTCTCCTCTAACATAATTCTGTACACAGTCCAGGCTAATCAAGAATGTGCATTCTTAGACTTTTAAGTGTGGTAATTATTTCCAATTCATGGTTCAAATTCTCCTGTTAGATTACTGAATTTGATGCTTTAAGTATTAATAGGGAAATTGTTATTATTGACCCATGGTTTTTCAAAGGGCTAATTTTCAGGGGAGATGGGTCATCATGAATGCTGGTTTAGTTGCAAGAAAATAGCATGCCACGGCCCAGAAGCACGGCTGATGATTTAGCAAGAGAAATGCAGCAGTATGAGGTTCATAATAGAACGCCTGTAATATGGATACTGCACAAGGGATGCTAAAAGTCAAGACTGAAAAATGTGTTCTAATAATAATATGCACCTCATGTTCTACGAAGATAATTGCCACATCTCCTGGAGAAGTTATGCTGAAATTCCTGTTGTACTTCTGCCCACAGTGTCCCTGCCAATGCACAGTTTGATAGAACATGACCCAGATAAGTTTTGTCCTGAACTTCCTAACCTACCTAGGTGAATCTAACATGTTTGTCCAAGATGACATGTTCCTGATTCTTTTTAAATACCTTTGGAGTTTTTAAACACTAAATAATCAGATTCTTTGTCTCAGGAATTGCCAACATCCAAGAATTCCCACTATACTGAAAATGCAGGAGAAGCAGGTGGTTTAGTTTTATTCTGCAGAAATGGCCTCTGATGTAGAGTGAATGCTCTTTTCCATAGAAGTGGATTTTCAAAGGGATGTGTGAGTCCACAAGCCACCAACACATTCTAGACACATTGTCCATATATTGGCAAGTTTGTACCTATATATTTTTTTCCTTTGGTGGTGCTGGGGATTGAATTTAGGGCCTTGTGCATGTGACACAAGTACTCTACCAACTGAGCTATATCCCCAGCCCTGTAGCTATGTTTTATACCAAATGGGCTGGACGCAGGAAGCCCAATCTGAGCCTGTTCTCTATATTTTAAGATTCCTCTTACAAGCCTAATGGCATGCAAACATCCGAATAGTTCTTAGTCAGATAAAGAAAGCCTGTACTTCTTAAGAAAAATGTACCTACCAGGCATTCCTACCAACACCACCTATTGCTTTTAAACCTGTGTGATGTGAATAACTGCAAAACAAAGTCCTCTGGCAGTTTGAACTTTTATTGATATCTCAGGGTAACCACAGCCCCTGCAACAGGAAGAGGTCATGTGCCCCATTGTTGTGTCTTCTATCAGAGCCTGCTCTTCCTGACAAAGCTGGGACAGCTTTGGAATCAGCCAGGAGACCACACCCATCATATCTGGAGCTGCAAGACAGAGTGTGCAGGTTCAGAATTCTGAATGCTCACCAAGAAGCCTTTACTCAGGCTATTAGAAAAATCCCAGCATGACCCATGTCCCAGTCAGGTGGCACATTACTAGAAGCACTTTTGGGAAACTACAAACATAAATTATGAGAAATCATGAATTTAAAAGTGATTGAGGCTCAGTGCTTTATAATACACAAATTGCATGGCTGAACACCTTGAAGCCTTAGAAATAGACTGGTCAACAGATTGGCCTTGCTAGAACTCCACTAGTTTTTCAAAGGAGCCTAACTAAAAGCTTGCCTTCCGTTCTTGACTTGGAACCCAGTGAGAAACCTTGCAGACATTCTGTGGGGGACACGGGAGAAGAGCAGCTGGCAATCTGCTGGCAGCCTTCCTCCATGTGATGCTGTAGCTACTGTCTTCCCACCATTGTGGCCTCTTCCCAGGACTCAAAGAAATGGAATCGGACATTTGGTAGCTGCATGGAGAAGACAACAACTAATATTCTCTTGGTAAAAATTTGAAAATCAAGGGCCACATATTTCTGTTCACCCTTAATATAGCCCTTGACCCTGTCTTAGACCTGACTTAAGACTCCTGTTATGGAGCACCAGGATGGAGCCAACCTGACTGTTCCCTAGCACTATTCTTCAAGGTGCATGGCAAAGGTTTGATCAATTGTTCACAAAAGCCAAATAAACGACACTTGAATAAGCTGAATAGTCCACCCCAATATTTCATGACTCACTAGCTATACTTTTGAAAGATTGCTTAATGGTAACCCATACTGCTTTTTCGGTGTAAAAGTTAATTGTGACACAGCTTTTAAATCTATGCAAATTAAGAGAAAGGCCAGGTGGGTCCCTTGAAGCTTTTTCCAAGGAAATCTAAACTTTCTCTTCATTGTCTAAGATTTAATTAATTTCCAGTCCCTTAGGATCTCAGGTCAAACACTTGGGTTGTCTGGTTCTTGAAGCTCGGGCTGGGGTTGCATGCTTATTATCTCTCCTTCCCTATAGCTGTTAACTCAGGGTGATGTCTGCAATTAGTCCTAGAGAATCTGTGCTCTGTGAATCCAGCCCAATGTGGGAGGATATTGCCACATTGATGATATTCTTATACCCTCTCCCCATCAATAAATATTAACCCTGTGTTGTTTTCCTCTGCTCTGCACAAACCTACCAGTGACCAGCAAGTGATTTCTGCAGCATTAGGCAATGCTATCAAACTTCTCCAAACTCTTCCCAAGATTCCAAGATACTAATTTTACTTGTTTTCTTACCTTTTTCATTTTTCCTCTCTGTCATGTTTGCTTGTTTTTCTTCCTGTTTTCTGTGGGTGCTGGGAGTGGGGTATGGGATGGGACAATATCAACCTCTATCCTTCTGTTTGTATTCCAGTTGTGTAAGGCATGTTCCTTTAGAGGGATCAGTGATTGCCTCCAACTCCACATCTTAATTTGCTCATTAAATGTTTGTCAAGTTTTGCTAAGTGTCAGTTCACTGTACCTGGGACACAATTTATAAGACAAAAACCTTGTGCCCAATGCACCACTGAGGGGCTCCCCATTCTCCAGAAACCTAGGCCTGCAGACTGGGGAGCTCTCTTGTGCCTCATTTGCCAAAGGTCAAACCCCTGCCATTGTTTCTTCCCTCAACACATCATGCCACCTTGCACTTTAACTTCTATGATCTGATCTGGTAAGTTTCCTTCCCACTGCTAGAGAAGATGATTTGAGTACTTCTTGTCACCTTCATCTCCCTACTTTCTGTCTTCCTGGTTTGTCCCACTCCACCCATTTTTAGTAGCTAACACTGAAGTGGGGATGTCACTACTACCCTCCTGGTCTTTCCCTCTCATACACATGGTGGATGCTATATGTCATATTGAATCCCAGCACCACTACTTGGCCTTGAAACCCTCCATATCTTTGCCAGTACTTATCTTCTGCTTCCAGAAGGCTATACAGATGCTCACCCTGTGGAGAACACCCTCTCCTGGAATGTGACCCCTTCTCATATTTGCCTCCAATCCCCATCACTCCAGGGCACAGCACAAGGGCATCTCCTCAACCTAGCCTTTCCCCAGGCTCACT